CATACAGGCGACATGCATCGATCATACAGACGACATGCCTCATGGCACACGTCAGGCACAACTTGAGGCTCGCAGACGACATCCCTCAAGCGGTATTTTTCTGGTGCCTCTTGAGGAGGCATGAATACGGCATGCCTCAACTTACACACGACATGTACAACTTGAGGCACACGGCCGACATGCCGACACATAATGGTTCAGACGCCACTCGCGCGGCACCCATTTTCTCAATGTGTTATTCCATGCGCTGGGCGCGGAAGAGGTCTGAGAACCCGGATATTCGACTCTCCTCGCTTCAACCCAATTCCGACGCGGCCCTCCTCATCCACCGCGCATCCGCGTGGCCATCCTCGTCCACCTAGTGCGGGACACTCTCTGGACAGAGTCAGGAGAGAGAGAGGAACGTAGTGTCAGTGCAGTTCTTTTTGCTCGGACCGCGCGGCGGTCAAAGTGCGGGTGCAGTCCCAGGGCCCTAGGACTAGGGCCAAAACGGCGGCGGGCAGCGTGCACGCCACAAACATGAAAAGTATGTGCATCATGCTCACAAGGCGGCACGGGCGGCAGAGGGGCAGGGGAGTGCCCTCTTCACACTGGGTGAGAACAATGCTGCCCCGATGCCGCCTCCCACAAGCGTGAAACGCTGCACGCGGTCACCGCCTATGCCGGCCCACGGGCCGAAACACCTCAAGCACAAGTGCGGCCTGAGGCTCAAAATATGAAATATGAATGTCCAAACTCACTAGTCCAGACTGTCGTCTCGATGTGCGTGCGCACATCACCGTAGCCATCACCAGGTCCATGCAGCGGCTGCAACAGGACCTCACGGGCTCGCAAGCCCTGAAACGGCGGCCCGACGCTGGGCCTTCCGCTCCTTGGCTCTCTCACGCTGTCCGCGGCGCAGCCGCAGACGGTGTGCCTCCTCATCCTCCTGTTCAGCAGTAGGCACCATGCTGAACAGTCCGTGGCGGAGGAACTGCAATAGCACCTCGTTAGGCTGCACAGCCTTCGTCAGCACGTCCGCCAGCATGTGGCTATTGGACAGCCACTTGAACTTGATGGCCTCCTGCTCGATCAAATCCTTGGCCACCAACAAGTCGATGAGGGTCTGCCGAGACACCGGCATCGAGCCGATCTTGGACGTGTGATCGTAAAGCGTCTTCGCATCCGTCACAAGCGCCCCCGGAACCTTCAGCGCCAGCCTCCAGTCCCCTTGCAAGGGCGGCTCCCCGCGCAAGACTGCCTCGATCAGCAGCCTGAGGTAGAGCTGCCGATCCAAAGCCACGGACATAGCTGCAGACTCTGCGGCCATCGTAGATCCAACAACTCGGGCATTAGTACTACTCTGGAACTCCACTAGACAACACACAGCTAACTCCTTCAACACTCGGGTCTCCGTAATCATACTCATGGACCCCATCTGGCTCTTACAGCCTGGTTCCTTCGCAAACAAAGCGTCCATGAGCGTGAGCACCTGCAAGCGCTCGATGTCCACACGGCGGATCCAGAGAGTCGCAAGACCTCTCTTGTCGTAGTCCTGAAGCCGGTCGATGATGTCATTGAGCACTCGCAGGTGCAATAACCTCCGACCTTTCGGATCCTTCTGTGCGAGCGCCAACGCACTGTGCGCGAGCTGTGGCACCACACGTGCGACAGGCCAGCGCACCTTCTGGAGCAAAGTCCGGAAGTCGTGGTGCTCTTCGCGAGTCATCTCCCGCTCCTCGTCCTACCCCCTTGCAAGGGGGTGCTTTGTCAGCTTGCCGATGTACTCGTGCATGCTGATCTCGATGTGATCGGGGTGGCGCCACCACTCCTCCCCGAGATAGGCGACTGCCTCCTTGTCATTGCCCTCCTTCCAGTGCTTGATGTTGAAACGTCTGTTGATATTCGCCTTCACCTTCTGGCACTGGGGGTCGCGCGGGCCCCCAAACAGCATGCCGTCGTCGACGTGCAAGGTCAACATAGCAATCAACTTGCCGGTCGCCCGATAAACGAAGACAGCCCGAGCACAGCGCAGCTCCACAAAGCCGACCTCGTCCGTCAGCACCTGGCGGGCTCGGAGATACCACAACCGAGGCGCCTCCGTCAAACCGCACGCCCCTTTCAGCAGACGAAGCAACGCATAAGGCCGCACAGCTGGCCATCCAGCGCCGTCGACGGCCGGAAGCCCGTCCTTAGGAGCCCTCGCGTACAGCTCCCGCTCCAGCTTCAGCCCGGACAGGAACGCAGTCGCTACGTCGAAGCACTCGAATGTCCAATCCATCGCCATTGCAATAGACGCACACACCAGCACGGCCAAAAGGGAGGTAGTAGGCGAATCCGTCCTGAATAGACCAAGCTGCGGGCCTAGGTGGCCAGGAATAATCAAACGCGACTTCGCCTCCAACTCCGGCCCTCGCCCCCGGTTCGTGCGAACCGAACGCATGGGCACCGAGATGATCTTATCCTTCGGAATGCTCCTCTCCTCCTCCTCGGTGACCAGCTCGACCGTGTCGTTGGCGATCCATTGCCGCCACTCGGCGGCATCGGCATCGTCGAACTTAGCCTTCTCGTGCTGGTCGAAGTGACGTGGGTCTAGCTCCTTCGCGTTCTGCTTCATCACGAGTGCGAACACGTCGTGCTCGTGCCGCGCCTCCTGCAGCCATGCGTCATACACAGATGACACGTTAATCCATTCCTCGTAAGTCAGCGGCTGCCGTACAAGACCCTCCAGAGTGTCCAAATCGTACAC